TGGTAGAAAGAGATGCTAACAGACTCACCAAATACATACATTACGACTCAATGGCAACTGGTTTTGCAAACATAGACGCTTTGCTCTACGCTATAGGCTATAACAGGTCCATTCTGAGGTCAGTGCAGCACCATGTCTATCATGTCTCTGCAAGGTCTGAGCCACCTCAACTTCGCACAATCTAGCCAATGCACGTCCCTCATACCCACGAATACCAGCTCCAGTTGGCATCGACTGGGTACCTGTTGTAGGTACGTGAATATCTATTATCGTTTTTGAAATCGGACACTGTCGCCTCATTGAATCAGTCAGGAGTGGTGACAACTTTTGACTGTCTGTTATTTGGATTGGCATTCCGACTCACCTCAAACTGCTTTCTAGCAGACTTTTTGGACGGTTTTTAATATCCTGATCCCCAAATATAGACACCGCTCTCTTAGTGACCCATTCGAATGCCAGCAGTGGGCCACTGCGAACCCTCAATGGACCCAAGAATATCCTAAAAACAATGACAGTCTGGGGGCTTGCCGGAATTCATTATATCTCCAATATTTATCAGACGAACCTTTTACACACAAGACCGTTGTAGTCCGTTTAATTTGTACAGGGACTTGAAAACAGTGGCCATCTAACTGTACCGTCTGCTTGTTCGGCCCACAAACCCAATATTTCTTCCAAAGGAATTACTGGTGGCTCCGTACATCGGTGAAGATCATAACCTTTCCTAAGCCAGGTAATACATATGCTGGCCATCATAAAAAACAAAAAACCTTACTAGTTGTGAGGAAGTTCTCAGCTTTGGCGGGACGCCTGCCGCAACCACTGAGTTTCTCATGACCAGGTTGCCAATGACCGCTCCAATTAGACGCTGCGCGGATGCAATGGACGTGATTATACTCCAAATCGTTTTGAGAGTATTTCCAAATCCAATACGTAGGAGAACACGCGCAGAAACCTACTTTTTCACAAAATTCTCCACCGTTTTCATTGAGACAATGCGGGAAGCCACCGGAGCCAAAAATGCGAATTCCGCGCCCAAGCTAGACTGCAAATTCGACTAGATAGGTTTTAATAGAACTGCGGCCGCGTGGGGAGATCTTAAGTGCTGAAATAATAACCATCAAGTGCTGGAACTTTATGTCAAAGTTTTCCGTTATCGAAACACGGTTCGGAGAAATTTTTGGTGTGCCTCTTTGACGTGGCCCGAAGAAACGGCTTCACGTTCGAAATTGAATTTCCTCTAAAATCCGAACCGAGAGCTAAGTTATGAAGAAATGGGCGAGCAGCAGACAACTATGCGCCACAATAGGTTCGACGTACTTTTTGGCGCTCGCAATCCTGAGATGACGTACAGACAATAATTTGCATCATATGGAATGCTGACCCAATGATCAAGCGCCTATCTGAGGATCGTCCTCTGGACGCGCGCAGGCTTAGTCACAACATGTCAGAAGTGGAAGCACGAAACAGGCTTCCACCGGGCACCAAACCAGAAGGCCCAAAACTCATGACCAAGCCGATTGTGGTCATATCCCCCTGTGCTCCCGAAAGCAGGCCGACGAATCCAGCTGCGTCTCCGGACAGCAGTTTTTATTCGACCACAATAGGCCTCTCGCTCACCAAACGCAAGGACGCCCTCGAGGAGGCAAACCCACACGCAAGCAGCGCCCAAACTAAGTGGAGCTATCAACGCTTATCTCCGTATCAGAGGGTAAAGCTCCAGCCGCGCACTCGTCAACAAAGTCACAGCCTCTGAACTGGACTTAGTCAGATGTGCGGGGACAAGAGGCGAAGCCAATCTCCAGCTCCACTCCGTCAAATGCGGTCGCCCAGGACCCCGACACCCAAAGCCATAAACATGACTACAGCCATCCGGAAACTCCCTCGTACATCCAGTTGGCCACGCTGAA